CCGAAACTTTTCAAAGAAATTGCAAAGATGCACAATTTACAGTATTGCATTCTCTGACATTTCCTGAACTTTAAATGCTAAATTTATAACTCCATATGGTATTCTACGCGTAGACAAAAGAATGTACTTTTATTTAATATAAGTTTTATTAAAATTTATTCACTTTTAGCATAAAAACTATTTACCATATTTTCAATACTGAAGATACCTAGATTATTAAACACTAGTCTATATAAAATCAGTATTTGATTACGTGTGATAAGATAAGGTGTTTAGGATCAAATTGTATTGTAATATGTTAAGTTTTATTGAAATGTATGACTCTGTAAAAAAGATAATATGTATTGACACGTGAACTGTAAATGATCAAGTTGCTGATGAAGTCCCCAGTAAGGGACGAAAAGTACAACTAGTTCAAAATAAATTGTTCATTAGATTTATTAACCGTTTATAATTCCCTTTGAGACTTATATATTAGTAATAATCTTTTTCTTTTTTATTTTCTCTAAAATCTTATTTTATTATATATCTCGCCACATAATTTTAATTAATTGTGATTTTATACAAAAATATTTACTAGATGAAGCAATAAGATTGAACCCTTTGCACTCGAAAAACAACCTTAAGTCGTCATTCTTCATAATGCAATAATTAAATTAACGAGTTAAAGATAACGATATAATTGATTGATAAACAATGTTATTCTTTCTTTTTTAAATTAATTATAAGATGCAATACAATTATCTGTCTCTATGTCATATTATCTATAATATACTATTATTATTTTCTACTATACTGTAAAAAAAGAGAAAAAAAAACAATAAGGCCGAAATAAAAAGATGATATAAAAGCAATCACGCGTGCAAACACGTAAGTATATATTTTAACAAGAGAACAGCTCTGCGTGTGGATAAGACTTGAATCCTCCAATAACAATTAAAATTTCTTTGCATATTTATATATACAAAAAAATATCGTTGAATAAAGTCACTGATGCACGAGAACGTCATATGTTTTTTAATAGATACTACAAAAAGCTGTTCTTTAGCAAAAAAAAAGAAAATTGTACAAGAATCAAATGTCATTTAAGGATTAATTATCTGAACAAATGAAAAAGAAATTACCCCAGTTGTCATATATATATATATATAAATATATATATATAAAAAGAATAAAAATATTTTTTATGAAATCTGCATTAGAGCATATCAACGAGGTAATATTTACTTTGGTTCATTCCCAAAAATATAAACGAATTTTAACCGGTATAATGCGATAATAATTTCTGATGATTTTAAGGCAAAATATAATTGAAATAAATAAATAAAAAGAGACAAAATATAAACGAATATCCGTGTCGACATCAATATCCGAGTTTCATCTAATAATTTTGTATATAAATCCGATTGAAAATTTATTATTATTTTTTTTTTTCTTTTTATATATAATCACCATTCGTGAATAAATGAAATATACATACACACGCAAACACTTACACATACATTCCATCGAGTATTATGTTTAAAGTGAGAACTACATTATCGACCCGGTAAAAAGTGATATAGAAAATAATATATATCATATATATATATATATATATATGTAATTATTATTATTATTTATTTATTTATTTTTTATTATAGCTATTAATTATTATCACGAATCATTTTTTGCGGCTATTGAAAATAAAAATTCTTTGAAGTACTTACAATTAGAGCGCAAGTTGAGATCAACGAAAATTCATTCGTCTCAATGAAAAATAAATATAAAGCATACGAACGTGTGTGTATGCATCTATGCATGTATGTATGTATATATATGAGTACGTATATATGTTATGTATGAATGAATAAATGTAAGCATGCACATGTATGTAATGCGGATAAAAGAGATATGAAAAGAAACACGATCGAATCGCTGGCGATAAAAAGCAAAAAAAAAAAAATAGAAAAAACAAAAACAAATTTATTCTATATCGATGTTATGATACGCGCGAAGGATTAGACAAAAAAAAAAAAAAAGAGAGAAATTTTTATTTATCCGTTAGTAGCAATAATATCTTTGAAATCGTCACATGTTCGGAATCAATCAATCGTTCATAATTTATGTAAACTCGTCTCTTATAGGACACCAAAGCGATAGATCTGAATCGATTCATGTGTTCCAGCGAGTCTTTTGTAAAATAAAAAAAAAAAAAAAATAGAAGAAAGAAAGAGGAAGGATCTATAATTATAAGTATATATATATATATTACATATAATAAATATTTTTAGGTATATGTAATATATATATCTAAATATTTATCATTGTCTCGCTCGAAATCACGTCGATCATTGATCTTTTCTCTCGCTTCAAAATATCTTTGTTTTACATCTCGAGAGTGATCGATACCGAACGAATTTAAAATATAGTACAACGTCGTTGAAAAGTCTTGAAACAATTTAACGTGTAATAATTATAAACAAAATTTGTTCTTTATTTTTCTTTTTTTTTTTTTTTTCATTTTTTATTCTTTTATTTGACTTTTCTTTTTCAAGAATAATGGACCAAATTTCTATTTTATTTCCAATAACAAGTAAACATCTTATGTAATTGTATATACATTTGGTTAAGTTTAAAAAAGTTTTGGGGAAAAAATAAGATGCAATATTTATTCTTCGATTTTTGATGATTGGACGATCTGTTGAACTTTTCAAAGACGTATATTTACGTATTTACCAGAAACAGATTTAGGGGAGGACAACGGGGACCGAAGTCTATAGGGGGGGGGGCCTCTACAATTATTTTATTCTTCTGAACTTTTTTACTTACAAATCTTTATAAAAGTATATAATTGATAATAATGAAAATCAAGCTTTTTCTAATATCTTAATAATAATTAATTCAAAACGATTATCACATTTGAAATTATATCAAATTTTTCATATATATGTTATTTGATACAAACTTTTAGTTAGGTAATAAATTATTTGATGAGACTGTATTACACATATTTTATTTCACCTAATTTTTCAAATAATTAATCAGGCCTCCACTTCTTCGTCGCACTCTTAAATCCGATCCTGGTATTTACGTATGTAAAAAGGAAAAAAGAAAGGAAAAAAAAAATGCCGCAAAATCTCTTTAGAAAAAAAAAAACGTCCTGTTCTCGTTTTCAAAAAGAAATTAAAAAAGAAAGAAAAAAGAAATATAAATTAATAATAATCTTCTCGTTCGTCCGTGTCTTCCCGTTTTTATTTGTTTAACGGCCTTCGCACGTCGTCCTCTCCTTTTTATTTTCCCTCGATGCAAAGAATAAATGTCAAAGAAAATAACGAAACATGAACAGTGGCGATTTTAATTAAGTAAAACACACAGGGGCTTTTTACACGCGATACATTTAATATAAATTTATATATAATATATATATATAATAAATATTTCATTTAAAATATCTGATGTGTGTGGAAAAGTATATACAATCGAATTTAAATAATGTATTTTTCACTTTATCATTTTAAGTGAATAATCGATGCAAGAAAATATAATATTGCGTACACAATTGATTTATTTCAATAGGGCTTCCAAAATTTGTAATATTATTTCGAGCTCCCTTCTTTCCAAATGTTAAATTCGCCAGTGTACATGAAGAAATAAAGAAAAAAATATAAAAAAGATCGTATTCTTCGATCTTTTACAAACGAATCATTTTGTTTAACACATGTAATGCAAAGTGTGTTCAAACTTGTATCGTATCAAACATTGTTACCAATCAACGTCAGCAAAGGAGAGTTTAACAGACGATATTTCTTTTTTTTCTCATTTACAGTTGTATTTATACATATACACATGCAACAAACACGAATACGACGATAATAATTAATTAATTCGTGAGATAATTAATTATTATTATTATTATTGCATTAATTAACTCGTCAATTATATATACGTTTATAAATATATATAAATAAATATATTAATTAATTATTATATGTATTGTGCGAGGGTTTACAAATTTAATCTGAAGGCACGTACGACGATAGAAGATTTTCTTATTACGATTTACGACGACACAAAGATCGTGACGACGATCGAAGAAGCCGTGATGTAATAATAATATGTATCAAATTATTTGAAGAAAAACAAAAGTGGTTAGAAGAATCTAACAGAGTAGCTTGATTGAAAGGAATTAAAAAAGAAAGCAACAAAAAAATCACAAAAAGAGAGTATATATATTATTATTATTATTATGATTATTATTATTACTATAATTATAACTATTATTACTACTACTACTACTAATACTACTACTACTATTACTACTACTATTAACTATTACTACTATTACCACTATACTATTATTAGAAGGGGGGAATTTTTGCTATAACTAACACTTCGTCCATTTTTCTATATGGGCAGTTCGTTGCACTGTAATCAGCCCTCGGCCTTGTAAATTTTATCCTTGTCATTTCCAAAGAAATAAAAAAAAAAAAAAAAAAAAAAAAAAAAAAAAAAAAAGAAAAGAAAGAAAGAAAAAAGAAAATAGAGAGAGAAAAAGAAAGAGTAGGAGAGTAAACGAAATATGAACAAAATAATATTCGAGCCCCCAATTGCGGAGTGCTGATGCACTGGTATACATACGTATATACATATATATATATATATTTTTGTTTCTTTGTAGATTAGAAACTGACAACGAATGCTAATTTAAATTAGAAGAATTCAGCTAATTTGAGTTAATTATACTGTAATTTAGAAAGTTAACAATTTTACGTACAAGTATTTGGTTTTTCAAATGTTTAACTCGCGAGTTATTTTTTTTTTTGACAGAATTTATCGTACGATCAGATTATTGAAGAGAGAGAATACTTAAACAGTATTTTCATTTTCTTCCTCAATATTAGTATATATTGTACACGAGATTTTTCCTTTAAATTTCAAATATTGGTGTACGAAATAAATTCGATGAATCGACCAATGGTAATGTTTTATTTTTTTAAAAGATTTTAGTTCCGCCAGATGGTGTCCAATGCGCCAGTGGCGATAGTGGTGCGCTGTAACGAGGCATGGTTTTATTTAATTGCTTGTCCATTTAATCGTATTTGAAATATTAATTCTTGTGATAAACGGATTCTAATTTGCTTATAATCAAAAATAGGACATCAATTTGAGGTCATTGTAAACAAGAAAGAATTGAGACGATTTATAAATAATTTTTATAAGAATCCGTATGACATAACCCCTGTCATTGTGAAAACGAAAAAATGGCTGTTTCCTGGACCGAAGATGATATTGGAAGAAAATGGGATCGTTGCTTTGCGGACGCCCTTATAAAATTAAGTAATAAATTATTTGATATACGTTTGTTCATAAAATGTGAAGAAAATTTGTTGGTTTAGTTATTTATGAAATATTTCGCTGATATTGTCATTTCTATTTTCAGGTTGTGGAGCAGTCATTGGTGGAGTAGTTTCACTATTTTTTTTTCGAAGTAAGATATATTTTTGGCCTTTCCTAATATAAAACAATTTAATTCATAAAAATTAAATATAATAGTTATATAATATATGATCAATATAATTTAAATGATTTGGTCTTCTTATTTTTGGTTATTTTACATTTGTTTATAGGAAGAAAGTGGCCACTAATAATTGGAGCAGGTTTTGGATTAGGTATGGCATATTCTGAATGTGAACGGGAAATAAATGCATTTACGAATCGATATTTGCTCGAAAGTAAACGCGAGGAAAAGAAAAAGTAGCTCGTAAAAAATGTTTTTTGTTTTAACGAACAGTCAAATCAAATTTACTGCTCGTGAAACAATTCTCTTAGTACATTTGTAAAGTAGCTACAATTGTAATCCGTTTAATTCTAACATTGTACAGAATAAAATTCAATTGTACTTTGTCGATCATGATTTACAATGTTCGTTGAATTTTATAATTATTATAATTTTAACATATTTATTAGAAGTTAAATATATTCTTTCTTTTTCTATGTTGTTGCCCTTTTGATTGATATAAAAGAAATGAAAAAGAAAGTCATTCAAATATTTAACAATAAAAAGTGAAAGCTCATCATAAAATTTGAAAATAATAGCATAATTAATCAAAGAACTAATTTTAAGTAATAAAATCATACCGAATACACATAACGAGTGATAATAATTTTACTGTCAAATTACGTTGTACTTTCCCTATAACATTAGAAAATTAATATTACAGTTCTAAAGTAGATAAAATTCGTCTATTGAAATTATTTTTGATCATGCAAGTACTAGGTAACAAAAAACGATGAGACATCAAATTTAGTGTAACACAATGTTAATCAGTTTTGTTAGTACAAGATCCAGATGCAATTATTTTTTATATCTATGGTGCATATAAATACAACTTCTTCTTTTTTTTGTAAATTAAATAAATCTTATCATTTTACGTACATTGATCGATCTTAATACTATTTAATAATATTAAAAAAGTACGCTTATAATAAGAATTTTAACAGAAATTGCATAAATACAATAGCGATTAGTTACATTATTATTAATTCTTTCCCATCAAGTAATTATGGGTATTCCATTAATCAGGATTGTTTTTTATTCGCATACAATGGATGTCAGATATTAGTACAATACAATAAGGATGTTTAAAGTAGACTTTTTAAACGGTAAATGTTCTCTACCGGAATTATCCTAGAATAAGAGTTCATAACAATAGAAATATCTTAATCAGAATACTTTGAGATGGGAAAGAATTAACTACTAAGTTTCTATACTGGTAACTTCGATCAATTTTACAAACGGTTCGAAATAATCTAAAGTGCAAATTCGATTAATTTATTAACGCGGGCTTTGTACGTAATTCTATAAGAGAAATTTATGAGTACAACATATTACTTAATTTATAAATATTTTCATCGAATAATTTCTTATCCTATCAGAGATATTAATGAAATCTAGATTATTATTATTATTATTATTATTATTATTATTATTATTATTATTATTATTATTATTATTATTATTATTTGTTGTTTTAATTTATTATTTTTCGGTATAAAATTTCATTGAAATTATTATTACGTACAATTTTATTTCACGATTGCTGTATAAAAAGGATACGAACATTCAAAGTTATACGGTAAAGATAACTGTAGTTTAAAAATTTTCATATTTCCATTTTGCATGTCTTTTTCTTTTGTTTCTTTTTTTTTTATTATTTGATAGTAAAATAAAAGGGAAAGAAAATACTGTAGGAAATAATTACGATTTACAAACGAAGCTGTAGTCGGTGCTTAAATAATTAATATTCAAACGTAATAGATAAAATATTCCATCAAAAACATCTATCAGTGGTATCGTAGTATAATGGATACTCAGCTTAGATAGTAACAATGATATGTAAAAGGACGCACTCTCTAATTTACTTATTATTCTTTTCAACTAAAATTATTAACAAAAAAGCTTTCAAAGGAAGAAATGGAATGAATTTTGTTTTCGATATATATTATCAAGCTATATAGGAAATGTGCTTTGGATATATAACATTATTATTATTATTTAATATTAATATTATTATTAATATTATTATTATTATAGAGTAAGAAATTGGCAATATTAGAAATAGAAATGATATAACATATATATAAAAATCTGATAGACAAGCTATACAATATAATCTAATAATTCGTATAAGGTAAAGAATGATTTATATATATATATTTATATATATAATGGTTATTCTATGTACTTGCATCACAAATTTTTTTCATTAAATAGACAGAATCTTACATTAATGTTGCACGATATAAATACTGTTATGTTTTGTTTTTAAATGACATTGACTAGAAATATTGGGTTTGCAACTAAGTAATGCCGATTTCATTTATAAACGTCTCTCACTCCCATTTTTATGATATTCTTAAATGTTATGATCTTCTTCTTTTTATATATGTTAGCTGTCATCCTTGCCTAGCTTTATAAGTTCATTGCGTAGATATTTTCTTAAAGATTTTTTTTTACCTCAATATTAATACGGAGTGCAAAAACGAACATTTTCGCCATATGTTGCTTTTTTATTTCCGTAAAGGAAAGAACGCAGTGCAAGTCGTCAAAAAGTTACGTGATGTGTATGGTGATGAAACCCTTAAAAAAAGGCAATGCCGAAATTGGTTTGAAAAATTCCGTTCTGGAGATTTTTCTTTTAAAGATGACTAACGTTCAGGTCGTCTAGTTGAGCTTAATAAGGATAAAATAAAAACCATCATCGAAGCAAATCGTCATGTAACTACACGGGAGATTGCAGAGAAGTTAAATGTTTCACATACTGCCATTGAGAAGCATTTAAAACGTGTCGAGCTCGTTAAGAAGCTGAATATTTTGGTTCCGTACGATTTGAAAGAGGTTCATCTGACAAAGCGCATCAACGCTTGCGATTTATTGCTTAAACACAATGAATTCGATCTGTTTTTAAAACGAATCATCACTAAAGACGAAAAGTTGATTGTGTACAACAATGTCAATCGAAAACGATCGTGGTGCATGCCTAATGAGTCATCGCAAACCACTTCAAAGGCAAAAAATAAGATTTTACTGTCAATTTGGTGGGATTGGAAAGGTCCGATGTATTTTGATCTGCTTCCAAGGAACCAAACCATTAATTCAGAGGACTACTGTCAGAAACTGGACAAAATGAATGCAGCGGTCAAGGAAAAGCGACAAGAATTGGTCAATCGTAAAGGTGTCATTTTCCGTCAGGACAATGCTAGACCGCACACGTCTTTAGCCACTTGAAAAAAATTGATGGATATTGGTTGGGAATTGATTTTACACCCACCATATAGCCCTGATCTCGCGCCATCGGATTAGCACTTATTTCGATCTCTGGACAACTCCCTTTGTGGTAAAACTTTTAATGATAATGACGCTGTAAATTTTCACTTAACTCAGTTTTTGGCCGAAAAGGATCAGAATTTCTACGAGCGTGGAATTTTCAAGTTGTCAGATAGATGACAAAAGATCATCGAACAATATGAAAAATACATCATAGATTGAAGTTCCTTCCAAGTAAAAAAAAAAAAAAACTTTTTTATTTCATTGAACAAATCGGCAATTACTTAGTTGCCAACCCGATACATTGTACAGATCATCAAGAAAGACTAGAATAACCCAAATGAAAATTATGTAAATTATATTAACACGTTGATCGTGGACTTATACTTGTACCGTTATACTTGTTATGTTTTTCCAACGTAATTCTAATCGATTTATAAGTAATTTTTTTTATCCTAATTTTATCTTATTTTAGAGTGTCATTATTTGTCATGGATTAAAGTCGTGTAACGAAATGATCAAGATGGTACGGTGTTACATCGAGTTCCATCAGTTTGAGAAAATAATAGATCTTTTTTTTTCTTCTTATCTTCTTTCTTTCTAAAGTACTTATATTTTTGTAAAGTACATCGTATTAAAAATAAAAAATTGTTACAAATTATTGAAGAAAATCTATTTCGGTTAACAGAAGACCTCTACGAAAATATAGCTATCTTTCAGATTTGGACAACGTAGCGATCAACGTGTTAAATAGAATTAAGTGCTGAGTGATGAGCGACGATTATATATATATTGTTTCAACTTTCATAATAAGTAATATTATATTTATCTTTTCTTTTTTGTTTTTTTTGTTCATTTATGTTTAATAAGAAGTTAATGCATGTGTCTTCTTTATACACGATTCTTCGATCTGTATACATTGATTTTTTTTAACATTGATCACAGACCTTGCAATGGCATTCAACTTTTTTATTCTTTTTTTTTTTATTTCTGACTAGGTAAACTTTGTTATTTTTTTTAAGGATATAAAACGCGTTTTAGCCTTCATTTACTTGGCAGTGAACTCAGGCCAATAATTAATGTAATAACGATGTGTTAAACCTTCGAATAATCTATCAAGCCACATAGGTAATCCATCCAGAAGATTTTCTTGATATAAAACAGTGTCTCCACTTGCCTATATTGAAAACATTTATCAATGAACAATATTTTACTTAATCTTATATTTAATACTCTTTAAAAATATTAATTTTTTTACTTACCTCGTCTTGAGACATATCAGATTCATTGGAACTATCAAAACCAATAAATGCACCAGCTTCTGCATCATCGGTTCGTTGACTAAGCTGTTTAGTTATCCTTTCCATACGCTGTATATTTCATTATAATTATTATTATTTATTATAATAAAAACTCAAACGTAATATAGACCAGTCGCTGGCAAATATAATAAATGGCTTGTAAAATTTAAATACATTCATTCAATTCAATGTATTTTACTAGCCCTTCCAAGGAATTATTTATTTGGATGAATGGTCAAAAGTAAAAATTTATATCTTAATAGAATTATATCAAAAGAAAGGATTAAGAATAGGTACGAACCTTTGAACCTTTTCCTTTAGTATTTTCTGGATGCTTAGCGTGATACATGCAGAAGTATTTACGATGTCCGTTTAAAGACAAGACTGTGCCAACACAATTTCTCGCATTTATATTCAGTTCCTTTTGTTCTGGCAAGGTTAGTGAAAGAAGTTTTTTGTACCAATCAAGACCCTTTTCTAACGACATATGTCCAAACATAAGTGTTTTATTTTTCCTATAGATAAAAATAAGAGGAGCATTATTTTTTAGTTAAGTTTTTCAAAAGATTAGACCAGCAGTAAATTTATATTATTTCATTTTGTCTTACCTATAAAGCCAAACGGCTTTGTGAAAAGCTGGCAGTAACTTTAATCTACTTTGAGAATCTACGAGCAATATAATTGTTCGACAGCCTGGCTTTAAAAGGCGAACGAGTCCGTTATATTTTTCAGCGCGTAATTCGTGCAATCTTAATTGCGGTTGTGATGCATTAGAATTAACTTTTTCCTTATGCTGTGCTTTCTCAGCTTGGACGCTCGCTTCTTCCAACTTTCTGTATTTATAAAATATCATCTATATTATTATTATTATTATTTCAATCTCGATTAAATTGAATAATTAATTGAAAAATATTATAAAATAATATCCGTGTTATACGTACACTAGGTATGACATTCCATATCCTGCAGCACCGATCAACATCAAAGTAGCTAATACTGACATTAAAGGTAATATTTGTTCTTTCGTAAAGCTATCAGATATATAATCAACAGCTAGTAATGCTCTTCCTATAAGCCTATCTACAGTTCCCTGTAAATAATACTTTTTTAATATCTGATAAATAATAATTTTGAAAAATATTTATAATACGTACTTGTGCATGCTCGTCTGCTAATTCTCCTACTATAGCTGCATAGGAAAGAGCTTCAGAAGCGCATAACAATCTTTGTATTGTTTGCTCTAAAGTATGACGCGTTTCGTTCCATTGACTTTCATCTTGAGCTGCTTCAAACCATCCCTTAGATAACCATTCGTATTTCAAATGATTGGCATCTCTCCTCCATATAATAACAATATGCATTAACGGTTCTAATGGGCTACCTTCGCCAGCTGATAAAGCAGAGACAAATTCTGGTTGGGTATCTTTAAATACGTAGGTATATCTGACTCGTTCAGTGCTGTAAATTATAATTTCATAAGATTTATTAGGAAAGATGTTGATGTTTTATTTGAATAATTATGTGTAAGTGTATTTTACCTGTAAGACGATTCAAGTGCCGCTTGTCTGAATTTGTGCCTTGCTAAATCATGAACTGCACTATTTTGTTGAGATATCAATACCGCACATAATCGTTTTCGTGGTCTGAGCCATTCTGGAGGACAAACTGAATCTAACACTGCTTGATTCGACAATCTTGGTAAAACAAGGAACTTATTACTTGCTATCACATTATGCATCGTTTCTGTGGGTATATCTTTCATACTAACGGATGCCATAGGTTTCTCAAAATTTTCATTAAAAAGTAATAAAGTATCTAAGTCGCCGGAAATTTTATACTTTGATATGATTGCCTCTGTTTCTGGTTTACCAATCTATAACATAAAAAAATAATTATAAAATAAAATTATCTCTACTTATTAGAAGAAACAATTCAATCTTACAATATATTACCTGTACAAAGCCAAAAGCTACACGAGCTCTGTAATAAAATGCCATGAGCAAATAACGCAAACGTGCTGAATCTCTTTTCTCAAATACTAATGCACGTATTCTGTTATCTGCCCAACCAGATAAAAAAGCATCTATGTTGTTATTATTCACAGTTTGTATTAATCTGTATGGGAACTTATTTCGTAAAAACTCTGTGCAAAGAAAGAACAAAATATATTATGTAATTATTTTCTTTCTTTTTTTTTTTTTTTCTTACAAATATCATAGACAGTAATCTATACTTACCAACAACTTTTTGAACGCTAAATAACGATTCTTTGTAAACACTAGTACGCCCATCCATTGTAATAACAAGGCAAGGAAGTGTATGCATCCCAAGTCGTCTAGCCAAAGATGATTCTTTTTCAGCATGCGCTGTAGCTAAACCAACTCCTAATGGTTCTAATTCATCGATCAAACGTCGCCACATTGGTTCAACTTGTAAACATGCAAAACACCAATCCGAATAGAATAAAATTAAATACGGTGTGCGATAAGTCTTTGGTACTATCACATTTTCAAAGGATCTGGAATGTATGTTTAATTTCATATTAATTACATATTATTTAAGTAAAGTATATTGCAAGTCTCACGCATTGTTGTAGTGTTAAGGATTAATTTAAACTTATTACTTATAAGTATGATATACCTGTATGTAATGCTCATTTTATGGAACAATGCAATATCACGGTTTTGATAGTGAAATTTATAATTTCCGCTAAATAATTCTTCCAACGGATCTAACATATTTACATGGCTACTTTCTCTTCTCTGTCTGAGAAAACCTTCCTCGGTTATCCCATGATTATCAAATTTCCTCCTTCTTTCAGGATCTGTAAGAAGCTAAATAAAGTAACATTGTGATAAAAGACTTAATATTTCAGAATTTGTGTAGATGTGATTATCATTAGAATAAATATTACTTAAATGACAATCTTAAAAAGTACATCGAATATAATACTTGTTTCTAAAAATAAACAGCGAATACTTTATTCGATATTACAATTACTGAATTATTCGATTAATTTACTTTAACATCTCTGGTCAATTTCAAAATAATATTTTAGATCCGATGCAACCTACCTCGTAAGCTTTTGTTATTTCCACAAATTTATTTTCAGCGGCTGGATGATCCGTTTTGTCAGGATGCCTAAACAAAGTTTAACGTGTAATTGTAACAATATTTTAATACTTGTTATAATTATAAACAAATTAGATAATAAATATCATTAAGATTTTGTATCGATACAAAGATCAATAGCATTATGTTATAAAAACAATGATTTACCATTCCTTAACAAGGTTTTTGTATGCTTTTCGAATGTCCCGTAAAGTAGCATGTCTTGGAATACCTAATATTTCATAAGGATTTCCCAAATGTTCAGCACTGACGGTAAAAGGTAATAGTTCACAGACTGCAAAAATTGTTACCAAAACAAATGCGAATTTCATTAATGGTAATATACCCCTCACACTTTTTACAGCATAATTCGGTCGTTTATTTATTGATACGAAGGTCATCAAAATATCAATCAATAACATTATGTGTAACGCAATTGCGTATGTGTATAATATATTTTTATATATAATTTCTTTAATGAAAATCACTTAATCGGTCGATCGATTAAACATGAAATTTAATCAGAGCTTTTTCTTACAGAAATAACCG